AACTGGAATTCCTCCTCCTGCTGCTATAAACCTCCAGCAGCACGTCCAATTAACTCTGACATCCGTGGCAGTTGTTTTTGAAACTGCAGTTTTGCAGACGAGAAACATGACAGGTTTCAGTATAATTGTGAAAAATGTGCATAAATTATTTCACTACTGGCATTGCATTTGCCGTAATATGAGCACTTGCCACTTTATGACGGCTTGCACTGTCATCAAAATGTTGAAAATGGTGATTTTGAGGAGGATCATTTTGAAAGCTTGAACAAATAATAGATCTTTCTTTGCTCGAACATCTGTAACAGTAGAGAAAAAATTAGTACAAATCAAACACAGAATTCATTTTTTAGGATTAACTAATGTACTGTACCTTCCAAAAAACTGCTTTGATAGTCCAAGCACGTATCAGCCGTTTCTGAAATGAACAGCTTATTAGTAATACATTTGACAGTAACGCTTTACAGTAAGGTCCCTTCAGTTAATACATTACCTAACATTAACTACCAATGAGCAATACGTTTGTTACAGCATTTATTCATCTTTGTTAATGGTAGTTAATAAAAAAAATACAGCTGTTCATTGTTACAGTAGTTCATGTTAGCTCAGGTATTATCAGATACAACTTTGGATTATAATAGTATATTAGTGAATGTTCAAATTAACATGAACTAAGAAAAATTTATTTTTTATTGTTAGTTCATGTGAACTAATAGCTAACAAATGTTAATAATTGAAACCCATTTTATATATAATGACGCAAAAATTATAATAATAATGAGTTTACCAGTTGTCTCCATTGGGAGTCCAGCATAATGTCTGTGCACGAGTTGATCGGAGTCTCTGTGACTCACAAAGCAGGTGTAGGACATCCATTCACTCGTGGGCACAGATATAACAGACATTGTGCTCTGAATGCCACTGTGTCCTTGGAGTAAGTTAGGGACTGCTGGATTAGTTCCTCTGGTGCCACTAGAAATCCAGGTGACCTCCAGCTCTCCTTGATGAATGTCATGAAGCACACACACCAGGATGGTCAAGCCTCTGAGATCAGTGTTCAAGTGAAATGGTGGAGATAAGATGGCATAAGGGACAGCGTCTGATCCCACTTCAGAGATGAGAACAAAATTCAGAAATGTTAGTATTAGTGTAGATGGTTATAAATGTTTGGGGCCAGTTTCACAATTTCCACAAAAATATTACGCTGTTTTTCAAAGTGATAATAATAAGAAATGTTTCTCATCCCCAAATCAGCATACTAGAATGATTTCTGAAGGATCGTGTGACACTGACGACTGGAGTAATGATGCTGAAATTTAAATTGTAATAATAGTTCAAAATAGTAGTTTTTACTGTATTTTATCAAATATACTCAGCCTTATGAGACTTCGTTCTAAAACATGAAAAAATCTTACCAACCCCAAACTTTTTAACTGTACACTGTTAAAAGTTGTAGTGACAATTTTCACCTAGAAGCTGCTAAATTTCAATTAATTACAAAGAAACGGTAACACATTGAATTAAATGTGAAATTTTGAAGTAGAAAGACTGAATGGTATTTTCTTGTAAAATCTTTATTAACAACATAAAAAAACTCATTTTTACAGTGTAGTATATATTTTAAAACAAACGACAAGAGCAGCCCAGTTATTGCAGAAATACAGTATTTGAAATTATATGATTTAATGAAGTGCCTTTACCTGAGCTTTGTAATTGCTACAAATGTTAGTAATTGTGCTAGCTTCCCTATAAACTCTACAACTTACTTGTAAAAAGCATGGTGGTGAGGAGGGTAGGAAGCATGTTGATGTTGTCTAGCTCTGTGTGAGTTCAGCCAGCCGGTGGAAAGGATTATCAAGTTTCAGTCATGTGATTTCACACCCGCCATGGAATCTTTCCATGTTTGTGTTGGTCTCAGGGGAGCTGTGCCCAAATACTGTATGGCTGGACTAAAATGAGAACACAAAGACATGTGCTGCTAAACATGCCGATACTCTTATTTTGGCATCAGGTTTCATTCATGGGATAAAATAACTTGCTTGCAATTCAACATTTAAAAAGAGCGTACACAATCTGCTCATTCACCTCACTGTCTCCAGTTCCATCCTCATTTGAATTTCAGAATATTTGTCAGACAGAGTATGTATTTTTATATAATGATAGACATAAAACAATTTCTTTCTGGTGTGATATGTTGTAAATACTTGTGAGAACGTGAAGTGGAGCTTGTTTCCAAAGATTCACACCTGTTTTATGTTGGTTTCTTCTGTGGTGAGAGACTGATCATACCAATACCTGCTGCTTTGTACATCTGGATGAAATAAAACTGCACTTTCAAAGAATGTTTTGATCAGGTATAGGACAAAGGTTGTTCTTTACTAAAAGTCAAGTCAAGTCAAGTTTATTTGTACAGCGCTTTTCACAATGCAAATCATTGCAAAGCAACTTTACAGCAAATTAAGTTTCTACAATATTTAGAGGTAGCTTATCAGTGGTGACTGTCAGTTAATGTACATATGGCAGAAATGTACAGAAAAATGGTAGAAAGACTGAATGGTATTTTCTTGTAAAATCTTTATTAACAACATAAAAATTTTTTTTAAGAAAAATCCATTTAAGACGTAATAAAACAGACGATGAACACTATTAACGGCAATTATTATATGATGCAATCAAACTTATAGCAAAATGTGGTAGTTCTGTATGTTGTTTCAGGGTTGGCATCATCTGAAAAAAAAGTATTTTACAAACGAAATAGCAGCAATCACTGGACACTGGTAAATTTTTGCAAGTCAGGTTCAAGTCTTAAGTAATGATGGAAAAGTTTGAGTCGAGTTGTGGAGTTTATAGGGAAGCTAGCACAATTACTAACATATTTAGCAATCACTCAGTCCAAAAGGCATTTCACTACATCATATCATTCAAAATACTCTTATTTCTACAACAACTGAGTGGGTTTGGTCCTTTGTTTTTAAAAAATACACTACAACGTAAAATGTTTTCGATGTAATATATAAAACACGTTTCGTTTAGAGTGTTACTTGCTGTTTCTTTGTAATTAGTTGTGAAATTTACTACAGCAGTTTAGGTGGATATTGTTTCTACACTGTGCGTTTCAAAAGTTTGGGGTTGGTAAGATTTTTTATGTTTTTGGAAGAAGTTGTGTCTGAATAACAACATTCAAGACGTTTTTAACATTTCAAAACACATTCTCGTGTTAGCAGACAGATTACACTTTCACTTGTGACCTACAATTCCACAACAAATATAAAATATCATAATGAAATATCAAAATTTTCACCTGACGGCGTTGACACATCTGACGGTGGTGACGAAAACCTGAATTTGGAGTCAATTTAACTATCAAATACATTGAATCAGTCAATTACTGTATTAAAGACAACAAACAGTGAGTATGTTATTGTTTATAAAGCTTTTATTCAAGAGTCACATTGAAGTATTTTGATATATCACTGGAACACAAAATCTTATGGTGGTGACATCTGACGGTGTAGACAAAAATTGGGGACGCAACTTTAAAATCTTATTAAACATGCATGTGTCATTAAAAAACAACCTTGCTTTGATAGGAGATATTATTAAGTGTTGCTTTTGATAAAACAAGCTCTTTTTCAACATTAAAAAAAACATTTTTATCCATTTTATTGCATATGTATGATTGAACCCTTCTCTGTGGACACACTGTTTTAGATGTAGTGAGAGGACATTAAGAAACATATATTTGGTATAATAATGAGAAAATTCAATTGAAGGTGATAATTGTGTTAAATACATTCTATTATTAATCCCTCATGACATTTAAAATGTTAAATATTTTTATTTTTAAGCCTAATAGCAGTTACCCTTGCTGGACCTGTTTTGTCCCATGTCACAACAAAGAATTTCATTGTTTTTGTTCTGTCACAGTACATGACACATGGCATGTTTACAAGTCGGACATGAGCTGAGTGTTTGTACATGTTGATGGCTGTAGGTCATTCCTCTGTCCGGTGGCTCGAGCCCCACTGTGTTGTCATTTGAATGCAGAGGCACGGCCAGCCAGCAGCACATGCTCGGCAGCTACTGCAGCAAACCAGGAAACTGTGGGCAGGACAAATGAAAGAGAAAATGAAACCAGCCGACACAATGATCCAGCTAAAATTCAGGTAAAGACACAACACTGAATGGTTAAAAAGAGTGTGTTCTTCAATAATGTTGTTAGTAGGTGCTTGTCCTACTTTACAGAGACCATATCATAGTGACACAAACAAATGCCAGAATTCAGCTAGAGAGAGAGCTCGTACTGTATCACAGCAGATGTCAATGTATTAACGTGAACATAGGCTCACATTACAGAGAACGGTCGCTCAGCACTGCTCTGTGTTGCCATGCGTGTTATTTTAAGAACACTCGTTTGTTGTCTTTTATTTTAATTGCAAAGTAAAGATGAAATGTAGGTTATTCTTCAGTTAAGAGTGGCAAACGAGAAGCAGAATTTGTAAAAAAAAATCAAATAAAAATTTGAAATAATAATGTATTTAAAATCTGTTTAATAGACTGTATTTAGTCAAATGAAAGCTTATGGGCTTTTAGATTTTTAATTTTAGTCAAATACCTGTGCTTATGCCTATTAGTAATAGTGCAAACTTAGCACACATAAAGACTTTTCTAAAACAGGGCCCAGAGCTGCCATCATGATAGTTTCAAGATCACATACATTTTTGGAAATATTATGCAGTGTAACACCACAGATTCTAATTAAGTGTGATACATGAAATTGTCAGAAATGTATGAAAATGAATTCGAAAGACTGAACTCACCGTGCATGCACCCCGCTTTGGAAGCTTGTTTCCACCGCAGGATGAAAAAAAAGGTTATTAACATTAACAATTTTGACTTTTTTTCTTGCCATTCTTAGGACAAATCAGAACTGGACATATAAACACTGAGAATTCTGAGAAGAAAGAAGAGTCATAATTATCTATTCTTAAACTTTCTATTTCATGGCGGAAACAAAAAACAGAATTGCGAGATACAAACTCATAATTCAGAGAAAATCAGAGTTTATATTCCATTTTTGTAACACAACAGACGTAAAGTTGGGGTAAAATCCTTTTTTCTTAAAATAAAAAAAGTATTTTTTAAAACAATTTGGTTTTTCAAGTTTATTTCAACTGTTGCAAAGGGACGTGACTTGCCACCACAAATGAAGAAGGATTTATTGGTATTAAGTGCAGTAAAAACAAAGAAACAATTACTTCAATTATTTACACACCATGTGAGCGTCAACTTTGCATTTCTTTTCACTGGACAATTTCTAACCATTCTAAAATGCGAAAGTGATCACCATCAAAATCAGCAACACCAAAAACATTCATTATGCATCTCTTGCTTGTAATCCTGTTCTTTCTGGAGGCACAGTTTTGTGTCCAGACTTCTGACAGCAATAGTCCTGCTGGCGATAACCTGGCGACAAACGGCCTTCCTTTTCCATGGAGTAAAGTGCGCCTGCCAAACTACATAGTGCCTGTACATTATCATCTACTTATTCATCCCAATCTCACCACCCTGAGGTTCAATGGATCTGTGAAGATCGAAATCGATGTTAAAAACAACACAAACTGGTTGGTGCTACACAGCAAGAACCTCAAGATCTTCACCGCCACTGTTCTGGATGAGCACGAGGCCCATCTGTCAGACAAAGTGCTCTCGGTACTGGAATATCCTTCACATGAACAGATCGCCATCTTCTCCCCAAAGATTCTGACCTCTGGGGAAAAATACTTCCTGTATTTGGAATTTGGTGCACCGTTAAGTGACGGCTTCTATGGATTTTATAAGAGTACATATAAGACAAAAGCAGGAGAGACAAGGTATAGTTAACATGGATGAACATGCAAAAACATAACATAGAACAGATTGCAAATAATTTCTAAATAATCAAACTAAATTTTCTCCCCTGAAGGGTCCTGGCATCCACCCACTTTGAGCCCACATCTGCCCGAATGGCATTGCCATGCTTCGATGAGCCCATTTTCAAAGCTAATTACACTGTCAGAATACGGAGGGGCCTGTCACATATAGCTTTGTCCAACATGCCATTAGTAAGATCACTTTATATGTCTACTTTATCAATTAAAGTAAATCAAATTTACTTTGACTGGAAAAAATATATAGAACAAATACATGGAACATAGAACAAAGATGGGACAACATTCTGAAATTCTGAAAATGTTTCTTTTCTTTTTTTTAATCTAATTTATCAATGTATAGGCCCATTTGTAAAACCAAATTTACTTCAAAATTATTATTATTTGTAATTATTATTAATAAATTAATATAAATTATTATTTTACATAATAATAATAATAATAATAATAATACATTTGGAAAACTATATCACAACAAATATATAAAAAATTGGATAATTTGACATTTTGAAAATGTTATTTTTATCTACTGTATAAATGTATAGACCCATTTGCAAAATCTTAATTATTTGAAAATTATTACTATTATCATCAATAATAAAAGTTAATATAATAATAGGTAATATGATTTTTTAATATGAAACAATTTAGAAAAATTATTTATCAAATACATAAAACATGGTCTATCATTTTAACATGTTGAAAATATTTATTTTATAGGAACAAACTGTAGAAATTGGCAACGGTCTTTTTGAGGACCAGTTTGAAGTGAGTGTGAAGATGAGCTCGTACCTGTTGGCCTTCATTGTCTGTGACTTCAGATCTGTTAGTGGGATGACTGCAACCGGAATTAATGTAAGTAACAAGAGCTTAGAGAGGGTTAAACAGCATGAAGCAGAAACATGTGAACACAACAGCTTTTTCTGCTTTTATAAAGTTTTCATCACAGGCTCTCGGGTGAGAAATGCATCTTGAATGAGCTGTTTTTTCTCCTCCCAAAGATTTCTATTTATGCAGTTCCAGAGAAATGGCATCAGACGCACTATGCTCTTGAGGCTGCTTTGAGGCTTATGGAGTTTTATGAACAATATTTCAACATACTTTATCCGCTGCCAAAACTGGGTGAGTGCATCTGGTTTGTTTGTTCCTTACCTTTCCTTCTGGTGTTTCAGTGCATAAGTTATATGATGTGCCTTTGGATATTTACACTGTTGTTTATTTTATGATGTGTTCCAGATCTGATAGCGATTCCAGATTTCCAATCAGGCGCTATGGAAAACTGGGGTTTGACTACTTATATGGAGACGTCTCTTCTGTATGACCCAGACATCTCATCAGCCTCAGATAAGCTCTGGGTTACCATGGTGATAGGACACGAGCTGGCCCATCAGGTTTTATATATAAAACACATTCTCAGTCTCATCTGTTATTAGTTAAGCCAATGAATTACAGTGCTACTGATATATATATATATACACACACACACACACACACACACACATATAATGTTTTTTTTGTAATGTTGTTATGTGCTTTTATTAATATATATATATATATAGGTTAATTCATTCATTTTTCAGTTTTAGTTTTCCAATCAGTAAATTTAGTGGTTGCCGAGGCAACAATTCAAATTTTTTTGTTAATTTTTCATCTACTATTTATATTTGATTTTATTTCAGCTTTAACTGAATATCTTCCATTAACAAACTGTTTCTAATAACTTTTGTTTTATTTTTATTTAATAATAACAAAAACCTTGCCTACCCAATATAGTATAAAAATATCTTTCTTCCTGGGAATATTAACTGGCACAAGACGTCTGACAACTAGCCCCAGTCTCCCCAACACATGTACTGTTCATACATTTTACTGTACATATACCAATCTCTCAAACCCAGATGTGTTGACGCTGGATGAGGAAGTTGACTGGGTGAAGCTCAACAGTGACATGAATGGATATTATATTGTCCATTATGATGAGGAAGGCTGGAACGCCCTGACGGAGCTGCTGAGCGCAAACCATACTGCTCTGAGCTTTAAGGACAGAGCCAGCCTCATTCATAACGCCTTCCAGCTGGTCACGTGAGTTAATGTTCAGGCCATTGCTCTCATGAACGCATCTGAGATCATAAAGCATATCTTAGCACACTGGGAAAACAGGAAAGTCTGTATTAACTAGCAAAATGAGCATAACTGTTTTATCCTATCAGCTCATTTGTAATGTTATTTTTTTGTTATGTATTATACAGTGCAGGACGACTGTCACTAAACAGAGCTTTAGATTTGATCGGTTACTTAAATTCTGAGACCCACAATGTTCCTCTCCTGCAAGGGCTTGGCTATCTACAATCATTCTACAAGCTGATAGACAAGAGAAACATAACTGACGTTACTCATAATCTGAAGGTATGACAGAAACATTTCCTGGAGTCTAATCGAATTTACTGTCCTCATTCCTCCACATACCCATCAAAGAGTCTTTCATTTCAGTAAGGCTGCTTGCAGACCCACCCGTTGAGTTCACATGAGATCTTCCGAGATTATGGCCACTTTATGTCTGGGTTTTTCCCCTGCAGACCTACATCTTGCAGTATTTCAGAGATGTGATTGACAAGCAGTCATGGAGATGCTTGCAGACCCACCCGTTGAGTTCACATGAGATCTTCCGAGATTTTATGTCTGAGTTTATTTTGTCTTGTATGTGTGTATAGCCACTTTATGTCTGGGTTTTTCCCCTGCAGACCTACATCTTGCAGTATTTCAGAGATGTGATTGACAAGCAGTCATGGAGCGATGATGGGATGGTCTCAGACCGGAGACTGCGTGAAGAGGTTCTTTCCCTTGCATGTGATTTTGATTATCCACCTTGTTTGGAAAAGGCTAAGCAGCTCTATAATAGCTGGGTGGAATCCAGTGGTACAATCAGGTGACTTAGCAACACAGTATTTATTTCTGCAATAACACCCTCCAATATACATTTTCATAATTTTGAATGATTATGGCGGTAGATTTCTTAATAGCTGACTAGTGCTTTACAAACTATATAGCTTACCCACTGATGTGTCTGAGACGGTTTACATGGTTGGAGCTCAGGATGACAGCGGTTGGGCCTACCTTCTGGAAAAGTATGGTGTCTCCATGTGTGAGACAGAGAAAAGCAAATTTCTCTCAGCTTTGGCAAGCAGCAAGGACTCTGAAAAACTATCAAGGTACATTGTTAGCAACACATTGAAAGTCATATGTAGCATAATTATACAACAGTTTGGGATCAGTAAGATGTTTCTGAAAGAAATTATTGTTTATTCAGCGACATTGCATTAAATTGATCAAAGGTGACATTAAAGTCTGTGTAAAGGCAATTCAGAGAATTCTTTCTAAACACATTATAAATGTTAGAAATGTATTGCTGAAAACACGTTACAAAGATTCTGAACTATGTAGTATTGTGGAGTTAAACCGTTAACCTGTTAGTGCTCCACTGTACCGCCTGCAGTACACTGCGTGTTTTTGAGGGTTAATTTTGTGACTTACAACAACTCTGTGCAACAAAAAATAGCTAAATATGTCACATATATTTGGAAAGCTGAGATTCTTGTGATTCGAATGTCTTTGTCAAACTGCCTACAAGGCTTCATGCTGTGATCCCATTGTGTTTTCCAGCTAATAGCTCACAGCTATAGTCATCTGCAGGCATCTGTTTACAGAAAAATGTAGGCGGAATGTTTTTTTCCTTTTACAGTGTGTTCAAAGTCTATTACTCAGTACCGGTAAGACTTACAGTGATTTTGATGTTTGTTCTGTTTAGGAACAAACCTCAGAGTGTCACCTTTCAAAAGAGACCAAAACCATGCATATACTTCAAATGGTTCAAGAACAGCATGCCATTTACTTTAGGGGGTTTTAGGCGTTTTAGGCCAATTTTACAGAAATGCTAAGGGGTTAAACAGTTTTTCACCATTTTTGTGTTCAGGATTTTTTGGATGGAACTGAAAACATGTCTCGATGACTCACTGGAGCCACTGATCATGGCCCCTCCCCTAACACTATAATAACTAGAGTGCATTAGCATCTGTGGTTTGCCTGCCCAATCGCGAGTTTCAGTAAGTTACTGACGCCAGGGGCAAGTTCAAGCTCAAACCGGTGTGCACCGTTTTGCTACTGTTTCCGGTTTGAACGATTTGTCTTTTCATCCTGAAATGCGAGGCAAATGTTGGATCACAATAATTAGGAACCACAGTTTCCACAAATCCCTTCACTCGATTGGGATGTTCTCTTTTATTCTGGAGGGCAAGGGCAGTGACTGTACCATCGAGTGTATTTTGCAGTATTAAACACGTATTTATACCGATTTCATCAGGCTCCGAAAATTCTTCAAAAAGAACACAAAGAATGGCCTTCTCAGCTGCCATAGTTGCAACTCTTGCGTCATCAGAAAAGGGTGCTCAACGCACCACCGTTTCCGTTAAAAAAACGTTTTGCACCATTTTTGTCGGGGCTGAACGCAGCCCTGGTTTCCCGTGAGTGGGCGTGGATTCAGCGCCAACAGTGGACACGCCCCCAAAGTTTGAGAGCAGAGAAGACTGCTTATTTTTTTCAAGATTTTGATAACTTATTTTATTTACTTGCCGTTTTTTTATCATTCAAATTTGGCTGGGTGGTTAGTAACATTTTTCTGTGGTGTGATAAACTCTAACTCTAAACTCAAACTCTATTTAATATTGCTTTACACGGACTTTATAGGGTGACCAGACATCCCGTTTTTCCCGGGACAGTCCCATATTTCAGCTCTACTTTTAGTGTCCCGACTTATTTTGAAAAAAGTCATGTTTTGTCCCGTATTTCAAAATTTCTTTACGACTGGGTGATCAGAGCGAGTAGTGTTCTGCTACGCCAAAACAGCCTAATTAAAGGTAACCAAGCTCGTCGTACAATAAAATTGTCATCCAATCACAATTAGTGATGCAAAGTCCGATTCATTTCTGCGAACCGGTTCTTTTCAAACAGATCGGCTCATTGAACCGGTTCAAAAAGATTCATCGGTTCCTGATGTCATCAAGCAATAAAGTCTCTACGCAGTGCCATGTTGTATCAATTAAAAATTCAAATAAGTAATTTGTGTCAACACATATTGAAACATTCCAAAATAAAGTTATTTGTGTGAAAGCATATTGCCATATAATTAACTTTTAATGGTGTTTGTGGTCACAGTTTTAGTCGCGGATCCTCAGATACGACTGACTGACCAATATTGACTAGCCTACAACGTGGATAAGATTTCTAAAAGTTTCACACATACAGCACACATTATAGACATTGATGCACAAATGCGGATATGTTCTACATGTCTACAGTATAAAGAATGAATAAACCAGTCTTATAAACTCCTTGTCATGGGTAGGGTGTTCCAGAGACCAGGCAGGACGACGAAGAAAAAGGATATTTAATGATATGACAACAGGAGATCCAGACAGGGTAGCACACAGGGTAACAGTCGCAATAACCGACAAACTAGAATACAAGAGACAGGAACTTATATAGGGCAGATAACGAGGGGCAGACAGGTGAACACAATGAGGTGATTAACTAATAATGAGAACAGGAACAACCAAATAAGGACACAGAGGGATAAACCACAAGCGACAGTCCACAGGGGTATGACAGATCGCCCCCTCCCGGAAGGCACATCCTTAGGAGGACGACAAAAGGAGTGGATGTGGGATGGAGACAGGGGAAGGCAAAGGGCCGGCAGGCAGACACGATAGCTGGAGGCTCCGGCAGAGGACGGATAACCGGGTGGAGGCCGGCAGACAGAGACCAGGGGGGGCGACGAAGGAGGGAGGAGACAGGAGGTGCTCAGCAGGACCCAGGCCACAGCCATAACAGCGGCCCACGGTGGGAGGAGCCATGGAGGAGGGATAGCTGCTGACTCCAGGGGGCCGACCAACGGCGGAGGAGCAGGAGCTCAAGGCGGAGAGCCAACGAGCCAGGGGGATGCCGAGGTTCCAGGGGGCCAGGGTCGAGCCGAGGGCTCTGGCAACCGAGGTGGAGGTCCAGAGATCCGCGGCGGAGCCGGAGCGACTGAGGACCAAGGTGGAGCTGGCGGGAAGAAGGAGCCTAACGGAGCCGGTGGGACAGAGTGACGAGGTGCAGCCAGAGGAGAGGAGTCCAGAGGCGATGGCGGGTCGACGTCCGACCAAGGCGGAGCCGGAGGGACGAGGGAGCCTGGTGGAGCTGATGGATCGATGGGTGCCAGTGGAGGCGAGGGAGCTAGGAGCCGAGGTGGAGCCACTGGGTCTACGGACAGAGGCGGCGTCCCGGCTTTGGAGGTGGAGGTGAGGGAGACTCAGACCATGGCGACGCTGGAGGATGGTAGTCCCGCGGGGCTTGCACCGCAATTATGGTGGGCTGAGGGCGAGCAGAGGGGCTGCCAGCTGAAAGCGGTGGAGGAGGCTGAAGCGGGTGGGAGGGGGGGCATTTTTGAGGAGCGAGTACTGGAGAGAGCTCTTGGGCTGGAGCCCTTCCCGGGCTGAACTGGGGATCAGGAGCCCTTCCCGGGCTGAACTAGGGATTGCTCTGGCTCGTGGATCGCGGCGGGAAATGGCTCTCCGTCATCGGTGGGCTCAGGCTGATGCTCCGTACCGCGGGGAGATGGTGGGCTGGGCTCTGGGTCCGAAGTGGCTCCGGCGAGATCATCCATGGGGCCGATGGTGAGTGGCGACTCGTTTCTCATCAGAGTCCACTCCACGAAGGCGGCAAATTCCTCCCGAGGACCATCTTCGGACGACCGCACTCTGCAATCGGCGTTCAGACTTGCCTCATAGAAAGCGCAGAGCGCATCGTCCGGATAGCTGGTGACGTTAGCGACCATCAGGAACAGTCTGGTATGGTCCTCGAGAGTCCTGCCCTCCTGCTCCAGCAGGAGAAGGAGGAATTCGGGGCACGTGAAGGGATCCATGGGGTAAACACAATGGAAAGAAAAACGGAGGGGAGAACACGGAAGTTAAACTGTTTTTGGGTCAGTTATTCTGTCACGGGCAGGGTGTTCCAGAGACCAGGCAGGACGACGAAGATGACGAATAAAAGGATATTTAATGATATGACAACAGGCGATCCAGACAGGATAGACATCAACACACAGGGTAACATTCGTAATAACCGACAAACTAGAATACAAGAGACAGGAACTTATATAGGGCAGATAACGAGGGGCAGACAGGTGAGCACAATGAGATGATTAACTAATAATGAGAACAGGAACAACCAAATAAGGACACAGAGGGATAAACCACAAGCGACCACAGGGGTGTGACACTCCTTGATTTCACTTAAGCAACTTTAAATATATGCATGCACAATAAAAACTTTTAATGGTGTTTGTGGTCAAAGTTTCATTCGCGGATCCTCAGATACGACTGACTGACTGACCAATATTGACTAGCCTACAACTTAGATAAGATTCCTAAAAGTTTCACACCTACAGCACACATTACAGACATTGATGCACAAACGCGGATATGTTCTACATGTCTACAGTATAAACAAGGAATAAACCTTCTTATAAACTCCTTGATTTCGCAACTTTAAATATATGCATGCACAATAAACTATTGCAAAATGTATTTACATCACTCGACAGAAAGGTTTTTGCAGGTTTTAATAACAGTCATAATAAGTATATTTCCAGGCTTGCACAGTATCGTCAACTAGGGATGGGTGTATCGATCCAAAGTATCGATATATCGATACTGACGCGAGTATCGAAAGTATCGATACTCAAACAAAAAATATCGATACTAAGGTGTGTTTTATTTACCAGTGATTTTGTTAATTTAACAACAACAAAAAATGCGTACAATATGCATTGAATTGGACGAATAACCTTTGTTAGCGAGTAATTGTGCAGGATAGAACTTTTTTCCTGCTCATCTGAACACGCAAATGTTGCAAGACAGAACCAATCAATCACAGAGAGCATTCACTCACTTCTGACAATGTATTCAAACAGGGCGGCTTTTCCCAAAAGTATCATAAGCTTTTGGGAACGGTAGCCCTGAACAATGCTTATCAGAGGACAGAAGGACAGAGTTATTTCACAATAAACAAACTGAAATTGTAGCCTACATAGTTTGTGCAATTACAGTTATTTAAATTGAACGTTGAAAGATAATATTGATCATGTTCTATTCTGTAATGTTAATAGAATTCATACACTGTCAGAATAAAAAGGTTGCATTTTATGCATGCAACAGCCTGTCACTGGCAGTCCCTTATGAAAATGAACCATGGTTTTACTAAAGTGACCGTAGTTCAACTGTAGTATTTGTAGATTTGAATCATGTGTAAAAAAAAAAACATATTTGAACCATGTGTAAACAAAAATATAACCTAATAAGTTACAATTAATAGTAACAATAGTTACGTATTGAATGTTAAAATGCGTTTTAAACATAAAGTTAAGTCCTTATCATTACCCATTTTACTCTTAGTAATTTAATAATTTAATACATTTCATAATTTAAAAGTTTAGTTCAGAAGTATCGAATCG